ACGGACCATTTGTTTTTCTTTATTAAACAAGTAAACGGAAGAGCGTCTGTGAGGCGTTTTTGCTTTTTACCTTACTAAATGGTCTAATGGTCAGTGGAGCAAGGGGGGGGGACTCGAGGAAGTGATTTCGAAACAAAAAGCACTCGTTTGCTTGGAACGGTGATATTATAAACAAGAGGAAACAAGGTGAATTTAGCAATCACAACGAAAACGGCCAAGACACACATTGAGCCCAGAAAATGAATGTTATTAAGGGCTGTAAATATAATAAGCCTGTGTCTAAAATGGACAACATTGTTAGGAGATTTAAACTATATAGCGATTCTGCGCTGCGGTCACTCAGCCGTCTCTCCACTTTGTTTTTTCAGCTCTTCATGTTTTCCCCTGCTATATTTGATGATCGATACAAACAAATACTTGTTATCACAAGTTCTTCATAAAACTGACACTGTTGGACTCGGTAATAGTAGTTTACTACTATGTTTATAATATCACCATTCCAAGCAAAAGAGTGCTTTTGTTTTGAAATCACTTCCACGAGTTTGTATAAATATGAGCGTTAAAATATATGAATATGAGAGCAAAATGTACATGTGTGAGTGAAAAATGTATGAATGTGTGCATTGAAATATGATAATATCAGAGCAAAATGTATGAATGTGTGAGTGTAAATATATACGTGTGGGAGTGAAAATGTATGAATGTAAAAGGAGAATGTATGTGCGTGAGAGGACCAGTATGAATTACGGCCTGTACGGCCCCTCTGTAAGCGCAGCTATACATGAAAAGAAAGCTTTTCAATAAACAAGTCTTACCATTAACTTCCGAAAACGAGGTTATATTTACATCATATAATGGAAGTAAAGATTCATAATAATGTGTTGGGATAAAAACTCCAGTTCATTTTAAGCTGAAGGAAGACATGCTTCTTCCCTGAGAGAATTAGCATTTTTAAGAAGTCAGTTAGATTTGTAAAAGCAACACAAATGTCTTTGATTATCATTTCTTAAATAATGTCATTTCATTTAGAAAAACTGTTTTCAGCTGATGACATTGATGTCGTTTCTGTGTGTGAACCCAGCGGTCAATAGAAAGCCTGTGTGTGTATGTGTGTCTTATCTTGAGGCATACTTTCAATATATTTTTTAATAAATAATTGGCTTTAAACCACTTTAAAAACAATGACTTATTTATATCAGACTATTTTGTCACAAAACTCCTTACAAAATGTTGAATGTTATTTTATAATAAAGTTATTAAGAATATGTGGAGCATTTTTCCTTTCAACAGTATACAAGTTGTTATGCTAATGAGAAAAAGCGAGCAAAGTTTTCCGATGTGTTTGCTTTGTTCATTTATGAAGCTTGTTCACTATTTGCCATTATTATGTCAAGATACTAGGCGCAAACAATGTTAACAGCAATACTGATGTCACGTGCAATTAGTGTCCAAAGCTGTATTTGATTGATATAATCACGTATATTGTCGAACTCATTGGGTCAGCGTGCTTTAAATTGCTTTTTAGATTGTCGAACGACGTCTGAAACCATCTCCACCCAGCCTTTTTGAAACTGACGAGCATGATTGGGCAAAGATGAGAAGGTAAGCAATATTTCAACTTCTTTATCACGCTCTTTTTTTGTCACTCCCTACGCTGACCCACTTTTTTTTTCTTTTTTTTTTTCTTTTAATGTTTATTTTATTAGCTTTTCTTTTAAATGACTGATTTAAAATGCAATTTTCTTAATGTCTTTCATTTTTTGTAAAGCACTTTGAATTGCCTTGTGTTGAAAAGTGCTATATAAATAAACTTGCCTTGCCTTGCCTTACAGCTAGAGTACTCATGTAATCATTAAGAAGAGGTTTAAGGGAACGGTGGATCTAAGCACCCTGACTCCAAAGGGCCCCTATCAGGTGGACACTCAGAGGCCGTTGTTGTTTGGGTATCACTTTCTATTTGGAGCCCCTCTGTCCACCTCTGTTGACTGTAAGCAATAAGCGATGAGCATCCACTCTCAGCTGTCCCCGTGGCACAGGGAGACAGAGAGAGAGAAGGAGACAGGGGAAATTTAATTATTTCCCTCCCATGGCCCAGCAAGCCTTAAAGGTTAATCACTGTCCGTCTAGCTAATTCTGTCTGGGTACACTGCAGTAATTACAACACCTCGCTCCCTCTCCTGCTCTCACATTTCTCTCCATTGTGCACCTTTCTCGCTCCAGCACTCTGTTCTGCACCTCTCTCTTTATATATCTAGTAGACGCTTCCCTCGCTCTTTCTGTTTCTCATGCTCCATCATGTTTGTCTTCCTATATAGATGGTGCCCCTCTGATCGCTCTCATATAGACACATTTCGTGTCAATGCCTGGGGACTTTACTTTGCCAGATAATGTGTAGCTGCTCTCTTGATAAACTTAGTATAATTCCACTACTTCCATCAACACCCCCTATACCATCACCACTGCTTCTTTCATTCTCGTCGGTTAAACTTAAGCCATTTTTTTGTCCTTATTTAGATACTTAACGGAACACTTCCTGCCAAGAAAAAAAGATTTCCTAACGACATGGGGGGGCTCATATTTTAATGTGAAACATCTACAGGAAGGGTTAGACTGTGGCAAGTGAACAAAGGTAACTCAAGGTGGAATAATCAATGAAAACTGTTATTGAATTCTGGCTTTTATATGAGTGCTTGCAGTATATTTATAGACTATTTAATACAGAAATATTTCGTAAATACAGAAATGCATTTGTGTTGCATCAGGCCTCAGAAGGAGGGTAGAGTAATATAAGGGTTTCCTTTTCTCACCTCGTCTCTTTCTCACTTTCCATTCTCTCCATCTTCTCACCGCCTCTATCTCCTCATCATACCTTTTTGTCACTTACTGTCTCTCTTCCCCAACTCTTCTCACTTTACCTCCTCTTCTTCATCATACCATCGTCGCTCCTCCTACCTTCCACTTCACTTCTTTCTGGCTCGGCTTCCTGCTGGTTATAGCTGTATTTCCCTCTAGGACGAGTTGAGAAAGTGCGCCTTGGGCCTGGAAATACTCCACCATTTCTTCTCCTTCCAATTTCTCGCTACCTGCCAAAAGCAACTCTGGAAGCAACAGCTCAGGATACTTTAAATACCTCTGGTTTAATTGCTCTTCCTTTTCTCACTGCTCCACATGTGTTACGTTCAGTTACACAATGGTGATGATAAAAAAACAACTAAAAAAACAACCCAATATCAAATAAAAGTTGTTTATATCTGAGTGAATGTGTTCAATTCCAAGACCATTTCCTCCCTTATAATGAATTATTACTCCCTGTGAGGATTCTTGGGCGTTTATACATAATTTATATACATAATCCAATTACCTGAACTCAAAACATATACCTCTTCATCCACATCATTTTGTTTACATTTCCATATTCCCTTCATCAACCACTTTTCTTTCCCCGAGGCACAAGTATAGCCTCCACTAACAGGCTGCTTCCTTCTGAGGCCAGCCGCCTAAAGCTGCTGAGGCAAGGTGAGCCGTCGCTTCCCATATCATCAATACAGAGGTGAGGAGAGGATAAAAAGAGCGGCAAAGAAACCACGAGAAGGCTGAGAGTAGCCCTCAGCAAAGTGTCATCACTCAGCTAAACTCTCAATTGCACTCTCTTTCTATTTTCCACTCGCTATAGGGGACCAAAACAGCAGCGCGGGATAGGAGCTGCTTTATTACACTCCAAATGTTTTCCAAGAATTTCGCAGTGACAAAGTTCCCTACAATTTGTTTCTCAGCCCCTGCGGCAGAGCCCTGCTTGAGAGTCTGTGGGCAGACGGGCTGCTGCTGGAAGAGGTGATGGAGGAGAATACGCGAGCTGAGAATCACGGGGTGAGACGGAGAGAGCGAGGAGAGGATGCGGGCGCTGTTGTTAGGAAACAAGCTACAGAGGATGCATTGAGCAAAGTGAGAAGTGTTGACAGTAAAGATATAAGGCCAAAGGGAGAAACCGCAGATGTGCCATATATAGGAACATATGATGCAAAATGTAATCACAACTTTGTTGGGTTTAAACTAATTAAAAAACCCTCCACAGTCTACTTTTAAAGCAGCAGTCACATTTGACTACACAAAAGGATAGTTGATGAACTCCTGTAGCCGGCAAGCTAAGTGGGTTGACTTGCCTCGCAGCCCAAAAGCTCCTGTAGCTTATTTGAACTGTTCTGTTTAATTTCCCCTGGTAATGTTTACAATTGTAAAACATTTAATTGAATAAAACAGCCAGAAAATAAAGCCCTCTGAGCTAACAAGCTTGCCAACAGTAAGATCAGCTCCTTTGCTAACGGGACTCCTCTCTCATAGCCATCTGTAAACCACTGTTCTTTTGTGGAGACGTTTTTTATCCAGAATTAAATAATATGCCAAAATAGCTTTTTGTTTGTTCCCCTTTGGCAATCAGAGACCAACATGTAAGTGTTCATCAAAGTTGAACTCTACAGAAACCATTCGTACAAATGTTTTGAGATTCCATTGAAATGAATTGATTTCACTGCAAGATTTCAGCGTTTTAAATCACAGCAAATTAGCAGGATAGCTGCGGATACCATTGAGACGTTTGCATATATAATGACCGTTCTGTGATCACTTTACATCAAAAGATACCCAAAGAAGACAAATCTGTCCATGACTCTTGGAGTTGCATAATCATTTCTGATTCACCACTTCCTGTGAGCTTTAAAACATGCAGTGATTGCCATGACTACAGATGGCATGCACATAAATGCTTCACAGTAAATGGTTTGAATATGTATCAGAATGTGAGATGTCTGTGTCCTTGTGAATAATATTTACCCGCGAGAGAACCAGATACAGTAAGTGATCTTAAAACCCTGTGTTGTTTTGAAGCTGGTGCAATCAAATTATTATGCAAAATTAGACAAATATTATGATGGAGAAATGTATACATAGTTTTTTATGTATTTAATGATGGACTGAGATTCACAGGGGGAGAACGGGTGCTGTACCTTGTGTGAGGAGTTGAAGGGTCCGGACTTCCTCGCGGACGCGGAGCTGCAGGACCTGCTGCAGGATGTGCTGCCTCTGGGCTTCCTGCATGATGCCCATTCTTTCCAGCTTTCTGTCTGTCAATCTCATCAGAGCTCGCCCTGAACAGGAAGAAAAAAAGTCTGAAGGTTAAGAGACAGAAGGAGTGGGATTAAATATGCACAGCTAGAGACACTCTAAAAGGGTAAGGATAAAGCATTTATAGCAGAGTAGGAACAGAGAGCACACAAACAAACTCGAGAAATTACAGCAGCTCTAACTATGCAGTGTACGTTGATAGCTTAGCTTTTCAAGGCTGCAACATGTTTTTGACATAAAAGCTAAGTGTTTATAAAAAACCTTTGCCCATTATGTGTATGTCAATTAGTGTTACACACAGCATAACTCAATGTGAAGGACAGTCTCCCAAACCGCAACACGGGTTTTCCATAAATATCTGTAATGTATGTCCCTTGAGCAATAATCCCTTACAGCTCCTTCCTTAATTGCAAAGCCTTGTATAAAATCCATCATTTAATCATCCAATCAGTGTTGATGAGGGGGATTTTGGTCAAGTATGGCGTAATTATTAACGCTTGTTACGAGTGGCTTTGTAGCATGTGGGATGGTAAGCAGATAGGAAGATATTCAGGCTAATTACTAGGCGTTAGGTTGGACTCCGAGAGCTCCCTTTACTCTTTTGTCCTGATGACACCCTTGGCAAGAAACTGGCTCTGATTGGTTTCAAGCCAAGGGGAAAGATCCGTCCTGATTGGCTCGTTGAGTCAGCAAGCACTACTATTTAGACATACTTATGGCTATTTTACTAATATGTATTTAGACTGTAAGTGTAAACATGCACATTGATATTGAATTTTATCTCGTTGCACTATCATCGCTACTACCTCTGCTTTTACCACTTATTTATTGTGTCTATTTTTTACTGCAGTGAGAGTTGCCAAAGAAATGTTGTTGTACTTTGTATGATGACAATAAAGATATATTCTATTCTATCAGTGTTCTTTAACATTTTCTCTCTTGTTTTTTTGTTTTCTCTCTTCCATGGCCACAGAATTAAACATAACAAAATATATACAGTTTTTAAATTGGTAAACTTTTGTTTGTGTTCCTTTCTAAAAACAACAACTCAGAGAAAAGGCAAACTTAATAAATGTACAACTCTTGATTTGATTGGACAATCTATTGTCTATCGTTTGGTCACGCAGAGCCACACACTACCATGTTGCTATCATAGCACAAAAGGGAGCAGTTTGGAAAGCTAAGTACCCTGTGAGTGTTGGTGGTATAATCTTGACTGTGTTGGGCGAATTTTCCCGACTTAACAAAAGCAACTCCTTGCTAGCTGTACGGTGTAATGGGTGCTAACATGTGAAGTACAGTTGAGATGCTTCAACGCAAAATGCCGTTCGATGTACCCATTACATTCAAACTGGGGAGCAAAGTAGAGTCATACAAGCTTAGTAGAGAAAAGACCATATTTAAATGGCAAGATAGAAAGAATGAGATTAGTAAATTGGAAAGAAATAGAGGATTGATGAATCGAATGTGAGGCGGAGGGCGGAAAAGTTGGGGAAAAAGGAAGACGTACAAATTGACTGAAGAATACCGTGGTATAAATGCTGTTATGAGTCTATAAATATTGACCAACCATCACTTGGCACCTCATTCTGTAACCGAAGATAGATCGGCATGGCAACAGAGGTTCACTTTTGCTCTGCTTCAGTAATGTCTATCTTAAATAACGGGAGTATAGGAGATACAACACAGCTCTCAAAGGGTTCAAACAGCATATTTTCTTAGCAATGTATCATGGCATACTTTCTGTAGAGACGTTTGAGCAGAATCAATCTTCTTCATCTTATATTTGGCAAGAAGGCAACTAAGGGTGTACACCAACATTTTGAACTTTTCGTTTATCAACTTTTAGCTGGAATATGTATAATTTGCAGCTGTGGACTTTTGAAACGTGTCACCAGTTTAGAAATCTACTTTTTTTTTGTATTAATTCATTTTTTAAAAAGGGCTTCCAGGACACCAAAACAGAAAATCAGAATGAATGAAACCTGTCAGTTAGAATTGGACATTCATGTTGTATTCAATAAAAAAGCTTTTCCTGTAGATTACCTTAGACCTTATCCCCTAACAGCTTTTAACAAGAAGTGTATTAATGTGGGCAGGTGGATGACTAATAAAAGGAGCTGGTCGGTGACAGCGAACAAACTGCCAGTTCTGGGCGGTGGATGCCAAGGCGCCGTATCAGCGGTGTGGAACAGCTTCTGTAAGGAGTCCAAGCTTTCACTGCCTCGCCCTGCAGTTCTGAGCCATTGGCTTGGACAATCCCACCAAGCCTCAGCCGGGGATCCTTCAAACCACAATTAATACACTGAGCAGTGTAGCATGGCCATGAGGAGAGGACGGAGGAGGAAATTGGTCAAGAGGAAATAAATGAGGAAAGAGAGGGAGAGAAACTCGAAGAAAAGTTGAACGAAATTATAGAAAAATATTGAATCAGCTGTAAAAGGCATCTTGAATGACAAAAAGACCATGACAAGGCCGTGTGGTCGTACAACAATATTATGTCAGCTTACTGCATGGGTAATTCTACGAGTTTACAGCACTATGACAGCATGGTGGCCTCATTTCATGTGGCAGGTCAACACAAAAAAGACAATGGCAAAAGACGACATGTGAGAAAATCCTTAAAAGGTCCCATGTCATGCTTTTCTGGTTATTACCCGTCCCCTTGTGTGTTATGTAGGTTTGTATGCATGTAAACGGTCTGCAGAGTCAAAAACCCTCAAAGTACACCCTGTAGCGAGTCAAACTAACACAGAAAAGACCTGTCTATGCTGCCCCAGAACGCCTCGTTGGAGATTTCTCTTTTTCTATTTGTTTCTTCCGGGAACCGCATGACGTCATGCGGTTCCCGGAACCAAAATGGACCAATCTGCGGAGCTCCTCACACACCAGGATCCCTTGGCGTCACTATCAAATGCAGTGGGGGGACCTTTAGCGTAAATGTTCAACTAATAGGGAGTCCCATTGACTTGCATAGAGCTCCCTGGTTGGTAATAGACGAGTAGGGATCGCGGAGAAATGCTCTCCGCAGACCCATTCTCACAGCGTTTATAAACCTTTTTCTTACTCAATATCAAGCCACACTTATTGTTTTTACTTCGGCTGTGAGTGTTTGTGTGTGCTCAGGATGAGTTTCGCGCTCATCGCTGTATCGCCGACCCGGAAACCACACTAGTAAGCCAGTATTTTACACACTCACTCTGTCCACCCCTCCTTTTACAGCGGAGAAGTTAAAGTAGCTCTCTTGATCTGTTAAATCACTGCACTGTGCATTTGACTTTTTGTTTTGTATTCCATCCACTTACTCTGTGGTCCTGTCACTACAACTCCTTGTATGTCAGAGTATTGATTGGATTCAGATTTCTCTCATCACTATGACAGCTGACAGAATCTCTTCACTTGTCTTCTCGGCAAAGCTCCACTTTCACAAAATGTCCTTTGAAATGCTAGGCTTATTGAATTACGGCACACGTTGGATATTTTACCAGTAGAAAGACCACATTACAAGTAGTACAGAACCACACCATTTAATTAAAACCAGACATTCTAAAAACAGAATTTATGGCCAGGATTTTTTTCTTTCAAATGGCACTTGACACTCTTTTTTCAAGAATTATTACCAAATCTAGGCTAAACATTTTGATATTTCTTCAAAATAGTTGTATTCCAAATATTTCATTGTGTGCTCCTCAGAGCAAGGGGGAAGCCATGAATAACTCTGCTGAGACCCACAGTCTAGTACAATTAACGTAGTGAAACTTCAGCTGAACTGCAGGCTGTTTAGTCAGAGACAGCAGAGAGGACAAGCCAAGCATGTGAAGCCCTCCTTTTCCCCCCCAATATTGGCAATACTTTTGGGCATTTTCCAATTTTAGCTAAATAAATCATCAAAGAAGTTCAACTGCACAAAATACATTTTCGAGTTCTCTTTACTTCTAGTCATGAATGTGCCGTTCAAATGAGTTGCAACATTGGACCAGAATGGTATTATTCATAAAAAACAAAAACAAAATGATTCTGTTTGACAAGACTGAGTTGAAAGTGTTTCCACCATGTTTACTGGGTCAGCTCAATCATTTGCTATGATCCTGATTTACTTTTTGGTATTTCATTGCTGCCATCAGGTGGAGCTTTTGATCAAAGTATACTCTGAAGTGCTTTTAATCAGGTAATGGAGTGTCATAGAGGGAAAACTCTGCCCTTATGATTCTGTATTTTGGTGGCTTTCTGGTTGGCTGGAGGAATTCTTGAGTGGCAGAATGAGTAATTTGTTTCTACAATAGAAGAAGCCTGTACCGCAGTGTGTTAAAAAAAACGGGTTTCAATCTTCTCCTGAATTGAAAATGTGGATATAAATAGGTGGGTTGGGAAAATACTGTCCTACAAACTAACCCACATTCCAGTCTAGCTATGTTATGAAAATACAGCAATAAAATACCTCGCCACCCTTCATCCTTTTTGTCATGCCTCCCAAGCTACCCCCTTCCTGACTGTCACTTTCCTATTCAGGTAGCACCTTGACTACCATGCTTTTCTGCTCACCCTGGAATGAGGTGAATAATGTCTTCCGCTCTTTCTATAAGATGGTTAGTAGATCAAAGAAGAAGAGCTGCTTCCCTGAATTCTAAAAACGGTCTCTCCTCCACCAAATTCATTGATTCACATCTAATAATTTTTGAGTGCTATACTTAAAAAAACATGCATTTTATACATTGTTCTGAATGGATTTTCATACCCAAGTCAAATATGAGTCACACATGTATACACACATACTTTACAGAATCACACACAAACACATTGTCCCGGGGATTTAGATTAATGAGTGGTGGGTGAGCAGCAGTGTTGGGCTGAAGCAGATTAATCTACAGCTATAGCCTGGCACCACGGCTGTGATGAATGGGAGCTTAAAGTGCATCTGTGTACACAGTACACACCAATCATCAGATATGTGCCAAGAGGTAAAAATGTGCCCACTATAGTCACATATACAAAAACAGTTCTTTTTTGCACAAGAAGCTAAAAT